AACACCAGGCCTGTCCTCTCCCCTCCTCTCCTCTCCTCTCCTCTCCTCTCCTCTCCTCTCCTCTCCTCTCCTCTCTTTATAGAGCAAAGGGGAGCATATAAACACTAATTTTTAGACAGAATTAATTTTTTGCTATATGCTAGGTGAGAGTATATCCCTTGCACATCAGGAGTATAAGCAGCCTTTATCTGAGATGAAGATTGACTGTGCAAAGATTCCTTGTTCAGGCATGCAATACAGCGGGCAATCCTAATGGAATCTGGGTCCCATAGTCATCCCTGCTGGTCTGTGGTCCCACAGTAATACGTGAGCCATTTCTGCACAGGCCATTGCAAAAAAATCCTTTTGGGATTGGTGGAGCGAGCCAGATAAAAGATAAAAAAGGACCTCCACAATTAACTTTGTTTAGAATAAGTACAATTATGGTACAGGTACAGATGCAGCTGATGGACTGGAGTAGAGTATGTGGCCCCTGAACTGTCCTCTGGAACATTTTCACATTGACCCTTGTTATACTCCACTCACATGGTATCTTCTTGCCGGGGGCAGCAACAACTCTCTCCTTAATCCTTTACAAGTGCAAATGAAATATGGAGAAGTCCACCTTTGGACTCTCTACTTGTATCACTGAACTTTGATTCCTATACTTTTTTCCATCCTTCAGAGTTTCATTTTCCCTTTTCTGTAAAACAAGTGTGTGTATATGTGTATATAATCCTAATTGCATCTTAAAACATGGTAGAAAAGCAGTATTGTTATAGTGACAGAAAATTCCACCCTTAAATTACTATGATAAGAAATGTTAAATAAAGAAGTTTCAGTTTAGAAGTTACAGTTTAGGCTTGATGTATGGAGAAAGCAAAGGCTTTTATAAACCTTCCATGGTCTTATGCTACCTTGGACATCCAACTAGCATTAAGTACAGTGGATTAAGTATACATGTAGAGTATACAGTTGATACCTAACTTACACTCAATATAATGGACATGCTTCAATTTATTAATTAGAGATCAGAGGAGTTACTCTGAATTTATCTTCATTCCAGTCTATCTGCTTTGCCCATTGCTCTTTGCACCACAGATGAAGACAGCACATACTGAAGTGAAGCCAATTCTGCTACAAATTTGTTAATAAATTTGTTAATAAATTATTTGTTAATAAATAATAACAATATAATTCTTGTTCAAAAAGTTCAAAGTCACACAAATGAGCGTATTTCTCAAACAGGCAATTTTTTTATGGATGGTAATGCATAATGACTGTAGCAAGCCCAGGATGAAACTCATGGACAAAAATTTAGAGAACTATCTCTTTTTTTTCAGGTAATATCAAAAGAGTTGGAACCAGATTACTCTATCTTGGACAAATATAAATGTTAATTGCTAGTTTAAAGGTACCTGAGAAAAAGGGACACAGTAACAAATTAAGAACTCTGGAGAAATATACTTACATTAGGTTTCAGTAGAAGTGAAAACTTTAAGCTGTGTAAGCATAATCTGAAAGATTATACCTTTTGTACATTTTAGGACAAATTATCATTACCCTTAATACAGAATTCTCTCTCTCACAGTATATGTGTACTATGGGCCATGGTATGGAAGGGAAGCTGGACTTGCTTACAGTCATCCTTACACAAACCTCTGTCAAATTACAGTATTTTATGAAAAAAAGAAACTGGTCATTTGTTTGAGGCTCAAATACTCAAAGGTCAATCAACTCAATTTTTAGAAGGACGAAGCACTCACAGCTGTAGGTCAGGTGTAATGAATAGTAAACTACAAAATCTTTGATCACCCTGTATCTGGTACTTCATTAAACTGAAATGTTTATTGTTAACTAAATTTTGTCCCACATCGTCAATTAGCATCTTAGGGAACACAACATTATACCTGTGAAATTAGATTCAAGAAAATCTGATATTGAATTCTGTTAGACTTTATTGTTAAGCAAAAACTAGTAAATAAGAGTTCTCTTGCATCTGTCTGCATGGTAGCAATGATAGTGCACACCCACTCCTCACACCACCCCCTCTGCTGCTGACCAGTACTCTGGAAATACAGCTTTCATTGCAAAATTAAATTGTTGTCACTGTCCTTGACTCAGAAGTCCTTGGAAATGTGAATAGAAAGCAAACATGGTACCTGGGTATCTTGCAGAAGGCTGAGAACAACCACTCCAAGCAGGTAAAATTGCCTCATATATCTCATGAGAAATTAAACATTATCATTGTTAGAACTTTTAGGTGAGGAAAAGTATCTGACAGAGTTCTACAGGTCGCTGTATGTGGTGCCTCAGGTGGGAAACCTTAACTTATTGTTTTCCCTCATCAAAACAAGGAACTGAGATGCGAAAGGAAAAATAAATCATGACATTGTGGAAAATGTGAAGCATAGTAAATACAAAAGTTTTCAAAAGGTCTTGCCTTCTGTCTGGTAAGATCTGCACTAAAATATTTGGCTTTAAAGGTTACATCTGTATGGAGTTAGCTATTTATGGAATAGCTAACACTGATATCCTAAACCCCCGATGGATACAAGCAGGCAAAGAGAAGAGAGGGTTTTATGGTTTATTGTATGCCAGCTAGTAAGATGGTGTAAGTCCTCCTGGAGAAACACTGTTATGTTTGACAGATCTGCCTCTCAGTCAGGGACCATCACTGACAGAGGTGCAGCTGGAGAGCTTCTCATGTGATGGTGAGGCCTCTCCAGCTCTACAACACCTCCTTCCCACTTCTGGATTAGGACAGCCTCATAAAAGCCCAGTCTCAGTTGAAACCTCCATGATCTCATGCAAGGTGTGACATTTATTACCTTCAGAAAGAACATTTTTTCAAATCGTGATTGAATGGAGGCAAGATTGCCAACTGATCATACAATGTGGGAAAGGAGAATGAAAAGAAAAAACAACAGGGGCAGCTCTTTGGATTTCAGGATGGGTTTGGAGGGATACTGCATGAGAGAAGAGAGGAAAGAGAAAAAAACAGCTACTTTGTTGTATCTTTTTCACTGTGCCCTGTGCTTGATACCTTATGAATTTGTTGTCTTCTCCCTCTCTCCTACCTCCAGCACTTTCACAACCAGCCTCCTGAAAGGTTACACGTACCACGGTCAGATCCTCAGCTGATAACTGTCTCTTTTTGCTGACTTACAAATTCTGAACCTCTTCCACACCAATAAAACTTTTCCCACTGTTTTTTCCTCAGTTGTGTAAGACAACTCCATTGACTTCTGTGGAGTTACTCTGACCAATAATAACCGCATTAGTATCAAAACAGAAATTTCTCTCTTTAGGGTTAATTTGAGTAGCTGTCAGATAAATGTCTGCCTTTAACATTAATGTGGACATCAGTCAGAGAAATGTCAGTGTGCTGACAGTGTAACCAGTATCATTTCTTCAGACTGGTTGATCTACCCTTTCAAATACTTGCATTGACCATCAACGTCTAATCTGTGGTAAATATTAATGAAAATACACAAAATTAACTCACTGTTAATTTTGTTGACTTGGAGGTAGAAGTTTTCGAGGTTCTCGCTAACAGTTGGAATGCTCTTCAGCTGATTGAAGGAGAGATCCAACTCAACCAGTGATGTGATATTGAAGACATTGCCTGGTATTCCAGAATCTGTTAATTTATTGTGGGATAAACGTAAATATTGCAGGGCTTTAAAACCTTGGAAGTACTCATCAGGAACATTGGAGATCTGGTTATTATCAAAATACAGCATAAGTAAGGAGTGAGGCAGTCCTGTTGGTAGTTTTGTAAGTCGATTGAAGCTTAAGTCGAGATACAAAAGTGAATTCAGGCCTTTAAAAGCCCCAGAAATAGAATCTGCTTTCAGCTGGTTGTTCTGGAGGTGAATGACAGTCAGATTCACCAGCCCCTCAAGTGCACCAGGATTGACTTTTGTGATCTTGTTGTGACTTAATTGCAGATCATCCAGAGTTTTGGGGAGTGGTCCTACAGCTTCAGTCAGATTGTTGTAGTTAATGTGAAGTTTCTTCAGGTGCTTTAGTTTAGAGAAGACTCTTCCCTTAATTTTTGAATTTTCCAAATGATTGTGGTCTAAGATCAGCCACTGTAGGTCTGTTACATTATCAAACGTGTTCTCTTCAATGCCCTCAATCATATTGTTTCGAAGATAAAGGTATTTTATTCCACTTGGTACAATCGGAATGGTTTTTAGTTTAAGATTGTCACAATACATGGCAGTAGGGTAGCTTAAAGGACAATTACATTCTGGGGCACAGACTGCTGAGGATGGCCCAAAAGGATCATAACCGTAATCATCTGCAGGACCATAGTCATATTGGCAAAAAATGCCAGTAATCAATAACAGAAAGATGGGTAGGGAGTTTAAAGTCATCTTTGCAATGTGTCTTGTCCCTGTATGGTGAAAGGGAAGAAAAAAGTTATAATTTTATTTTTTTATTTCTTTCAGCAATATTTGAAACTTTACCACATAAAGATTATAATTTAAAACCAATTAATTTAGGATTCCTCTTTAAAGTGATTAATTAAGAAAAAATATATTAGTTTGCTAGTATTGCACTGTTACTAATAGAAACTTACAGTCCCTGTCTTGTTATAATCTGCCTTTGTAAGGTAAAATTGCAGCCCATTCTGCTGTTGTAAGTAAAATATTCTTTATATCTTCCTGCATTCATTCATTAAGTCATAAGAAGGATGATAAAGTCCACGTTTTTTCAACTTGGCACAGAAGAGTTCAGTTTTGCTGAAGGCCATGTTCAGAGGCAATTCTACCATTTAAATTCTATCAAGCATTCCTAATATACTGAATTGCCTCATATCTAAATAACGTGGCAATATGACTTGTTTGAAAGAGCCAAGGAAGTTACAAACTGAGGGTAATGATCTGCTGTATAGTGTGTTGTTAAGATACTTCTAGCTTGAAATATCTTCTCATGGATCGCGTCCAGTAAAACATGGTCCACTAAGTTTCATATTCACCCAAAGAACAAACTAATAGAAGCATATAGCATATTTTCTTGGACACGTCAAACAACTAGCACTGCATATGTATGCACGAGCATACTCTATCAATCTCATGCAGTACAGCACGAAGATTTTTTAAAAAATGTTGTTGTGTTATCACCAGTCAATAACCCATAAAGTCCCTCTGCTAGGTTAAGCTGCTGTCCCCTGAATAAGGAGGACAATTGCATATCTTTTCTTTGGTGCAGGTCTCACCATATTCACCTAATTACAAACCATAGGATAGCTTAATCATTAAAATATGAGTTATCAGTGTAGTTTCCTTTGTCTGTTCTTCATTACTGCATGAGAACATGCAAAGTCAACCTTCAGTCCCCTGCTGGTATAAATAAGTACAGCTCCTCTGGAAGCAAAGACACACAGTGACACAATTCAGTTCAAAATCTGGTCCTAATTAGGTACTAAGCATCAAGGATGGGGGACTAACTGCTTCTGTATTCGAAGTATAAGACAGAGTGTAATGAACTTCTTGGACTACACTCTTTGGACTTACAGTGACATTTTTACACATCTGCATAATTGTATAGTCTTACTGATAAAGTAGTATAAACATCCTATTTTAAATTCAAATCCTATTGTTATTCTAGTTTCAAATTATATTTATAATGCTAAATTTTATTATTGATAACATAGGCTGACAGTTCTTTTAAATAGTATACGAAGTTTAACCGCTCTGCAGAACCCTGGAGGTAATTTAAAAAGTTAGATAGCAAGTGTTTTGAATTATTTTATCAACAACATTTTCCAATGTAGGTGACAATTCTGTAGTGCAAGGGCATATGAGCATGTGTGTGACATAAAATAGCACAGTAAAGTACATACATAGTGCAGTTAACTTGTTTTATTCATGGATTTCTCATTCACATATCTAAATTTTTCTCTGTCAAAGTGTAAAAGGTAAATAGATCATGTACACATGCTTGTTTGTTGCATCGAACTATATGAATCCAAAAGACAAAAGCAGAATACATTCCTAGACATTTATCTTATAGCATAAGCATGCTTGAACTAATTGCCTGTGTTTGTTCTAACCAGCTATGTTGTAAAATACCTGTGAAAATATTTGTGAAGTTGCTCAGGCAACTTGCCAAAACTTACTAAATGGCAAATCCACAATTTTGGAAAAATTATTACTGCAGTAAAGTAGACAAACTATTCAAACTTTTTTGAAGTTAGTCTACACTACCTTAATTCTAAAGCTGTTGTGAAACAAAATAAATATATGCTCAATAAGCCTTAAACTAAATATACTTTAATTCTGCAGCATAAGATTTTACACAGTTTGCAAAAGACTTGATTTTAAAAAGTTTCAATAGTATATTTTAAATGTGCTTTAAAATTAACTAAGACTTTTAAAATACTTATAATTTTCCTCTCATTGTTTACTTGATTAATTATTTAAATATCATGATACCTTGTCTTTTTGTAAAATGAAGCAAAATGATTTAACATAAGGAGTCTGTGGAGTTCTTACTAATAGATTATGAATGAATAACTAAGCAGTGAGTAGTCTTACAAATTTCTTTGTACTGTACATCAACTCTTCTTCTGAAGTAGAACAAAACACACTAAAAAAGTACAACACTGATGCACAAAATATGTGAGGGTTTTTTTTAAGGAAACTGTGAAAGCGAATCCACCAAGCAACTGTTGATTTGTGTTCAATTTACAATTGGCAAACTTATCCTGACATGTTTTCACGTTCCCATTACAGCTACATTAAATAGCTGAACATTACAGTTAAAACATGCAGCAGCACTTACCTTACTGCCTTGAAGCTGCTTTCCTTAATTCCCAGAGCAGATGCAATAAGGGACTGTATCAACCAATATATGCTGTAAACAGTGTCAGGAGGTAAAAGTCTGCCAGATCCTCTGTGTTACAAGGGGGGAAAAAAAAAAAGGGAAAAAAAAAAAAAGCCCTAGTCACGCTGTTCTCTGAAGCTGCTATGTCATCATGGTGATCCTGTGGTGTGGCATGTACAAAAATGCAGCTCTCTAATGAAGTGCAGGTGGATACCATATTTTGTACAAGGACAACCCATCTGTTATTCCTGCGGGATGAGAGAATGATCAGTGTTTCACAAACCTGAGAAAGTTTAGACCACTAGCCATAGCCTTATACAAGGAATTTTTGTATTTTAGACTGAAAACATCTTAGGTTGTAAAACAAACTACAAACAGACTTTTGTTTTCTAACTTATTTTATACTGCTAGACATGAGCTAACAAACAGCACTCAGACCTCAATGCTGCTGTGATTCTTCAGCCAAGTGACTCATTCATTTTTCTGCCTTTTTCTTTTAACTATCTTATGACCACCGTAAAATATCCTTAATAACAGTTCTACCTTAAGGATCAGAACCAAAGATGCAGGATTATCTTTGGATTATAACCTTTTCTACAACATTAAATACTGAGTTCAAAGTTTCTTCTGCAAGGCATTGGAATTTATTTTGTCTGGAGATTTTCTTTGGTGATTGAATGTATGTTTGTTTAATAAAAACACATCACAGGAACAGTTTTTCAGCAGTTACTGTAAACTCACTTTATACATTTGTTCATTTTTGCACTTAGAGCTTTCTCCTGCTTTTCAGAATCTGGAACTACTCAGCTTTACGTTGTCTGTTTCTTATTCCATGGACGTAGTTCAAGAATGCATCTTAAGGTTTGGATGAGATGTTATTTTCACCAGGCAATGCCAAAAAATAATGCACTAAGACAGTAACCGTTTAAAGTGGGTCTAAATGTTTCCATAAGAACCTTCCCTTATCTCTAAACGGTGGATGTTTTCCCTTTTTATGGGGTGCAAGCTCTTTCTTGTAAAGTTGGATGGGGACAAATGTGAAATGTGGATATAAGAAGCATGTACAAGCCATTTGAAAGCGTCATGTGTGTTTAATTGTATTGTAATCATGACTGTAATTGTGACTGTATTTGTGACTGTATTGTGACTGTAATTGTTGCCTGTACAGATCAAGTTTTTTTGTCTGTTATCAACTGGCTAACTTTATGAAAAGCCATGGTACAGGATGTGGCTGCTCTGGAGAACCCTAGTAGCTTCCTGAAGAAGAGGAGCCTGGATGTGGGCTTCCTCCTAAACCTGCTGGTGGTGCCTCTGGTCCTCCATGCCAGTACAGGTTACTGGGAGCAGGGAAGGGCCTGGCATAATTCAGTGCCCTTCACCGAGAACAGGAATGATGCCAAATGATTACAGACCTCTGTGCTTCTGCAATAACGCCATTAGCAAACAAATTTGCTCAAGACAGAGCGCCAAGTGCCCGTGCAGCCTACAGGGAGTGAATGTCACCCTTCTGATGTTCCCACATCACGCCTGCCCCCCTGGTGTGGGAGAACCATTTACACATCAGGAAACGTGCTGACGACAGACCGTAGATCACTATTTCAATGTTGCAAAGAAGTGAACGTGAAGCGGTGGGATTACTATAGTGAATTAAGGTAAGTAGGTGAAGAAGTGTGTGTGGTACAAGAACCAGAAATTGTTTTTCTGCATGCGGGCACATGAGACCAGATGGAGTCTCTCATGCACAGTATGATGTCTGAAAATATAACTTCATTAGTTTCAGCTGACCAAGAAAAAAACTAAACTGTAGCCTTGACTGCAAATGGGGCAACAAGCAGGAGCATTCAGCAACAGATCAATTGGAAGAAAGATTTGTAGTACCAAAAGGGATGCCCTTTGTGACAATACTGAGGTTTGCTCTGTGGAAGAAGGTACAGCAAGATGAGCAATGGAGCATAATGTCTGTAAAGGGAATTTTAAAATTCACGGGGAAGGCACTAGTTGTGTTTTCTCTGATTAAAGATTTGTTTTGAGGGATAAGCTCAATATTATAATAAATAAATACATATTTTAATCTTTCAATAATAGATGTAGTTTATATTTGTAGTACAATAGAATTGTACATTGGCTCCAAATACAAGATCGTGCAGGCTTAATATGTTTTTGGCACAGTTATATTTATTCACCAGTTGTTTATTACGTTGATTTCTGTAGGTCCAGTATACATCCTTTTTCTCATTCTATTAACATAAAATACAAAGCCTGCATATCTTTATAACTTAACTTGTAGAAAAATCTTATTAAACAAATGTGATGATACTTTCCAATTAACATATGGTAAAATCTTGGGTCACATAAAGTTCACCTGAGACTTTTTCATTCATATAATTCCTGTCTTGTTGACTGTTTTAACTTAGCTATATAAATTGCATGGTCAAGAGGGAGAATCACATGCCTTCCAAGGATAAGATATAAACCAATAGATTTTCCCTCTTCTTTAATAAGATTTTTGCCACCTCTGGCATTTAATACTGTCCCTTCAGCATCATTTGATATGCTTTCCTAATCTTACTGTTCCGACTCATGAAGAACTCACTCAATAAACCTCTGTTTAGGAGAGCAGGTAGGGACTAAAGCCCAGCAAATGGAGGTATGGTTTCTTCTGTAGCAAAAGATGGGAAAGTGAGTGGGTGTTTTCTTTCTGGTCCTATTTTGTGGTTTTGGGGTTTTTTTGTGGTAGGTCTCAGAAGTCATTAAACAGCATGTTAACACAGTCTAGCTAATTTCCAAGGAATACACAAAATAATGTGTAAAGTCACCTGTGACATCTAAGTTGAAAACCAGTTATGAATATGCTTCATACTTATAATGTCAGGACATATTGATATTTCACCATTAAAGCAATAGTGCTCCCAATTATCCAGCTCAGTTTGTGTTCTCCAAAATTAAATTTCTCCTTATTTCTTATTTATTCATTTTTCTTTTATGAGAAATGTGATCAAAACCTAGTCTCATCTAGTTTTCTTTGACTTGTGACACATGAACAGAAATATTCTATTTATTTGATTTTGTTACTTCATATTTTCATGGCTGGAGATGGCCAAGAGATCTGGTAGGTTGTAGTAAAAGAATCTGAAAGCAGAGCTCACTGCAAGTATATCACTTTGCAGTGGGTGAGATCTAGCTTTCAAATATTGTCAAGTTACAGTGTCACTATTTTATCTCTTCACTCATCAGTGATATCCTTTCTGCCTTTTCTCTCCTGTAAAATTATCTTCTTTATAACTTCTATGCATTTCTACATAAATGGAAACTCCTTGCAATCTGTTTGCTTTTAATGCCCTTTTTCCCAAAAGACTCAAGTTACTAAAACCTAATAGGTATTATCTAAACCAGCTGCTTCCTTTTAGTCTTAAAGCTGTGTACACATCTGGTACACAGATGTGTACCCTAAGAACCAAGAGATTTGGGTACCCAGAATTAAAAATAAAAAAATACCAAGAGTAGGAGATCTGTGTCATAGAAACATATCGCCCCAGAAAAAGTTCTTGTGGAACTTTTCACATTGCTACATAAAATGAGTAGTGAATTTTTGCATTGATCACTCATAATTTAAATTAAATTTTACTCTCAGGGTGGAATTATTGAAGACTAGTTCATTGTAATTGGCTACCTGCAGCAGAAGGTAAAGAAGTCTCCATTAAGGGAAAAGGCCATTCTATGGGCACCATACAGTGAGCCACTTAACTATAAAGAAGTAGTGTAGCATTTATGCATGATGTTTTCCATATCTCTAAATTGTGAATATATAACCTGTTAGCCTACATATAGTGAATAAACAAAAATACTACATTGACTCAAATCTCCAGTAATAATTAGTTAAATGTTTTTGTGAAGTCCTGCAGCATTTTGAAAATATTACTTAAGACTGACTCATATCAGATGAGTTCCACTAAAAACAATTCAGTTCCAGATTCTGAAGGTTGTAGGTGTTTATTATTTTTTCATCTGAAAACTTCCATTCCTCCAAATTGAAATTTTATTTGTTCAGCCTCTACACTGCACTTACATGTTAAGTGGAAAGTGTTAGAGCACATACTATAAGCATTACAAAATTTGTGGTGATCCAAATCCTTTTTTTCCTTTCTCCTAAAAAGGAAATAACAGCTTTGGAAATTTACAAAAATGGTAATAGTGGTACAACCTATTAACAGACCGCAACAGATACTTTAGTTGAGCATGAATCTTTTTTTTGTCATTCTGAAAAATTGCTCACTGTTTTGCTTCAATCTTGACAATGTCTGTATTCTAGTACTGTTAGCCTCCTATCCATTGCTTTTCAGACTCTTCTTGTACTAGACTGCACTTAATTTGATTCAAATTGTCGATGGCAAAATTCCTCTAGTTGATTCAAAGGAATCAACTTCTAAAAAGCTCTTTTATGATAAGAACTGCACAGATGAAGGAGGGCAAGATGCTGTTTTTAATATATTTATATAGTGTATATATATGCTGTACTTCGTGTTACAGCATTTAAAATGTGCTGATGTATGTATAAAAAAAGTCAGGTGGCCCTGGAACAGGAACCAATACAAACGATTCCTAATGTACAGAACGTAAGAAGATCTCAAGGAGTTGTTTTATTTGTGGGAAAGTCGTGGCTACAGATAAAAATTATTGAAACAGCTCCATATTTTATGCAGTACAGATAATTTATAGGAAAACAAAGAGTGGACCTGGCAAACTTGCCTATCTCATTGCCTGCTGTTTGTATATACTAATGCTCTATCAACGTAAACCTCCTTTGAAAATCATTGGGTGCTAAACATCTTCCCCTAATCTAAACATTAGCAATGTCTGCTTTCACATCACTACTGTTTAAAGTCAGAAGGGATGTTGCATCATCTACCCTGACCTGCCGTGTAACACAAGCCATTAAACTTCATCCTGTCACTGCTGTACTGAGTTCAACAAAACACCTTTGCCTACTTATGCTCCAGACAACATATATGATCTAAAACGTGAAAAGTTTGGGAGTTTTCTAGTTTGGTGCAAAAATCTGTTGATTTTTGCCCAGGCTGGTTTCAGGATCAGGCAGGTTATCATGGACACTCAACACTTTCCCATCTGTGGGCAGAGGGTTGCATCTTGGGGTAGCAGCTGGTATAATTTAGACTGCTAGTTGAGTGAAGCTTATTTATCACAGTTTTCATCCTTGTGTCCGCTAATGTGTACTTGCAAGCAGCACCCAGAAATAGAAGGCTGGTTCCCAGGCTGATAGAAAA